AAAATGTAGAAAACATCCAAAACTGTTTAAATAAATGGTATTTTATTTTTGTTTAACAGCGTGATTAATCACGATTAATTTTTTTAATCCCTTGACAGCCCTAATTGCAACATTTCCCTTATTCATCAATCTAAATTTTTAGAGCTAATAAACAGAATCTTGGACCTGTGAGTTCTCGAAGATTTGTGAACACGTAATAAAATACGAAAATACCAAGTATCTCTGTATTTTAAATTGCAAAGACATTATTGGAAACTTTTTCAACTCAAGATTGAAATTCCCAAAATTAGTGAGACATGGATTTTTGTTACATGAATCCACTTGCTAGTATTTAGGTAATCAATGCTTTGAATTAAGTTGGGGGGAATTTCTGCACTCAGTGCTAACTCTGTTTCAGGCTGGAGACTTTAGCCATAGAAAGTGTGTGGGGCAAGGCTCCTCTTTCTCTCAACCTACCAGAATGTATCCTAGGAAAAGGAGACTGTTTGACTTTAGCACACATACTTCTCTGAGGAGAGTCAGAAGCCCATGGTGTCTCAGAGGAAAAAACTCTGGGGAGAAGCTGTTTTTCTTTTCATTTGAACACTGCACTGGACTTCATTAGTTTGACTGAAACTGTCAGTTCTCCTGGAAAAATCTGAAACCCCAGTAGGGATGCCTGGAGGAGACATGTTGGTTGAGCTTTATTTCCTGTTAGGGTGACCAGATGTCCCGATTTTATAGGGACAGTCCCGATTTTTGGGTCTTTTTCTTATATAGGCTTCTATTACCCCCCGCCCCCGTCCCGATTTTTCACATTTGCTATCTGGTCACCCTATTTCCTGTCTATCTGTCTGTGTGTATGTGTGTCGGTTTGCTTGTTTGAACTTTGCCACCAGACCCTGGGAAGGGGCCATGTTCTCTATAACTAAGGCTACGATTTAGTCATGGGCATTTTTAGTAAAAGTCATGGACAGGTCACAGGCAATAAACAAAAAGTCACTGGGGTCAGCCACACTGGCTGTTGCAGAAATCATGGAGGCCCTGGAAAGTCACGGCATCTATGACTTCCATGACCTCTGTGAAAGACTCGCAGCCTTATCTATAACCCACAGTCAGGGCCAGTTTTAGGCCAATTCAACCAATTCCCCTGAATCGGGCCCTGCGCCTAAGAGGGCCCCGCGCCCAAGTCCCGGTATGGCGTACCGGCGTGGCCCGGCTTCCCCAGGGGGCAATTTAAAGGGCCTGGCGCTCCCAGCAGGGGCTGGAGCCCCAGGCCCTTTAAATTGCCACCAGAGCCCCACTGTTGGAGCCTTGGGGTAGGGCTGCGGGGCTCTGGGAGCTATTTAAAAAGTCCGGGGCTCCCGCTGCCTCTACCGCCCTGGCCCTTTAAATAGCCGCTGGAGCCCCACCGCTTCCCCAGGGCTCCCTCAGCTATTTAAAGGGCCGGGGCAGTAGAAGCAGGGAAGCCCCAGCCCTTTAAATAGCCCCCGGAGCCCCCCGCTACCCAGGGCTCTGCGGGCTATTTAAAGGGCTGGGGCTCCAGCTGCCTCTGCTGCACCCCCTGCCCGCACCCTGCAGTTCCCAGGGCAGTAACCCTGCACACCTGCTTCAATGAGGGGGGCAGGGAGCAGCTGGGACCCACACATGTGCACACCACTAGGGCGACCAGACAGCAAGTGTGAAAAATCGGGACAGGGGGTGGGGGGTAATAGGATCCTATATAAGAAAAAGACCCAAAAATCAGGACTGTCGCTATAAAATCGGGACATCTGGTCACCCTAGCACACCCCCAGGGAGTGGCGGGGACCCACACATGTGAAACGGAGCTCATTAATAACCGATCAACAGCTTATATGACGCAATGTACATAATATATAATTTTGTTATTTATATAGTTATGGAAAGTAAATAATACATGGAAGAAATGAAAGGCTTTTTTTTTACATGTTTTTTTTCTTGTTAGTCATCCCTGCCAGGGCCTCATCGAAAATGTTAGAATTGGGCCCCGCACTTCCTAAAGCCGGCCCTGCCCACAGTCTGCTATAGTATGAATATCTTATAAATTCAAATAAGCCAGTGCTTTAGACATACAGTTGTCTAGCATTTGGGCAGATTTTCAGGTGTGATGCCCTACACCATGGGCATTATTTGTACCTGAAGGTGGCTTAACTGGCCCAGGGAGGCTCACACCAGTGTAAAGGTGATCCTCCACTGTCATTCAATCAGCACGGTTAATCTCACTGGGCAGGTTTAAACGAAGGGAATTGGCAGTTAACCATGTGGAGATTTTTCTTTCAGTACTCTACTTATCCATTAATAGTTTTCAGTTTCATTATGCACATCACTTAAGTAACCATGTGTGTATTTACTTGTACATACATTATGTGCTCCTCTCTCTGGTTGGAAATGATCATTTTTAAACTGCTCACGCAAAAACTTAAAGGTATTAACAAAAAGGCAAAATAGCTGTCTAATTTAGGGGATTCTCAATCTTTTTCTTTCTGAGCCTTCCCCCTTCCCCCCAATCCATGCTATAAAAATTCCACGACCCACCTGTGCCACAACAACTGTTTTTCTGCATATCCAGTAGATTAAAAGCCAGGGCTGGCGTTAGGGGGTAGCAAGCAGGGCAGTTGCAAAGCTAAGTTGCTTGGGCTTCAACTTCAGCACTTGGTGGCGGGGCTTGGGCTTCAGCTTTCTGCTCTGGGCCCCAGCGAGTCTAACACCGGCCCTGGTTTCTGGTTTATTTTGGTGGACCCCTGAAACCTGTTTACAGCCCCCCAGGGTGTCCCAGTCCCTGGTTAAGAACTGCGCGTCTAACTTATTGTGAGTAGAGTATGATTACAGAAATAAGAGAGAAAAAAGAGCTATACGGTTACCTAATCTGTTCCCCGCCAAGACATGGTTTTTTCCCACAATGTATACTTGAATGCCTTGTCTGGTCCAACTGTTGAAGTATAGGACGATCTGGGCTGCTCCTTATGTTCTGACTAATCTGATCCCTTCCAATAAAAGTTTGTGATGGGACAGGAATGTTGCACTGTAGGTGTTTTCATATGCTTTTTACGGCATAGATTATAAAACTTGGCTATTGAGAAGAGATGGGCCCAAACTAAATACTTGTATCTGAACACTTCCAAACTTTGGGGGAGTTCAGACCAGAAGCTAGAGCCAACATTCTGGTTGGCCCTTATCTCTAAACACAAACTCTAGGTCCTTTGAATTTTAAGAAAGTTCAGATTCACGCTTTGCGGTTTCGGCCCATCCCTATGACTAATGAATTAAGCCTATAATTAGAGCCCTGCATATCTGTGAATAGCTGCTTTATATCCATAGATATCTGCATCTGGATGAAGAGTTCTTGTTTATCATTAAAATGTAGCTACCAGTTTTTGGTCTTATACCTGCTTTCTTGACTAGTCTAATAGTGAGTACCTGTTGAAGATAGTGAAAATTAATTTAGAAATTTGTCAGATTCAGGGCTGTCCCCAATGAGACCTTCGTAAATCATGTCATTTTTGTCTATTCAGTCTTCCAGGAAATGACAACCAAACATATGCTTTCAGTTTTTGAGGTTAAAGTTGTTTGGTTTTGGTTTTTTTTTTTTTTTTGTTCTCTAAGTCACATAGAAGAAAACTTTGAGGAATCCTTCATATTGCCAAAGAAGAAAGAAAGTAGAGCTATGGAACAAAGTAGTTCACGCATAGAAGAGAAATTTATCTTGGCTCAGTATAGCTGCAGATAAACTTTCTTCTGCTGGTGACTTCAGAGTAGAATACATGAGACAGGCAGTTAATAATTTCTGGCATTGAGCTCTGTCTGTAGTTTAAGCACATTCTTTTAAAGTTTTAAAATAAGAGTCAACAAATTAAAACAGTATACAGTGTTTATAGGGATAAAAGTTAATAGTTATTCATCTGCCTATAAAATCCTTGTGCTTCAAAACTTGCAGCTCTTAAAAATTGTGTGTATGTATGTGTATTTGTATTTGGTTGCTCTAAGAGCCAGGCTGTTATGGTCGCATTTCTGAAAATGTAGTAAAAGTAAGGTCTTCAGGTTTTTATTAAAAGTGTGTATGTGTTTCTGTTTGTACTATGTAGATACAAGCATATGGGGTGATATCCTGGCCCCATTGATGTCAATGGCAAAACTCACATTGATTTCATAGGGCCAGGATTTAACCCACAGTTGTGTGATATATATCCAAATACACACTTTTAAGAAAAGAGGTAGCAAAGAACAGGAATTAATTTATGATGCATTTTCCTTTCCCTCACAAACTTCTCAGTGGTCTACTATACTTTCTGCAATTCTGCTTTTGAAGTTGTATCTTTTGGGTATATTTATATTTGACATAATTTGGATATGCTTTGAAAATTACTTTTTGTTTTCTAAGTGAGTAACAGTTTATAATAAACCATCCTCAGAAATATGTGCCTTCCTGTAGTTACAGTAATAATAAACAAAGCAGGTCACATAAACACAAATGCTGTTAACTCTAGAAATAAAACCATCTGAAAATAATTTGAATATCATCAACAGAAGAAGGCTTGCCAGCTCTTGAGTAACCCAGCATTTTTTTGCTGCTGCTTTTTGCTTGAGGGGGGGAAGAAAAAAACATATTAGGATACAGTGTCATTTGAAATGTGTCAGGTAATATGCTGCATCCCCGTGTACAATAGCTAAAGACACATGTCATACTGTATTAAATTATGAAATGAGGTATTATTTGCCATATTATATCACATAATAAAATGACAATGTATGTCATTTGGCATGTCACACTATAACATGTTGTAACTGCGTCTGTTCCATCACATTAAAAACAAACATGGCAATCAAAAACCATAGATTTTTAAAAAGACCCCGAAACACCAACCCTAGTTTGAGATTATATTTGTCATACTACCTGCATAAGGGAAGGCAAATGAAAACAGTTTAGATCATCCAAACTCTATGCTAATAGATAGTAAGCATGATTTCCTCTTAACATATTTAGCATTACCTTTTCTTTTTAGATTCCGGTCAGCTGGAACAGCAACTGGAGGAGGCCAGTTCTGCACGACGAGAATTAGATGATGCTTCTAGACAAATCAAGGCTTTTGAGAAACAAATTAGAGCACTGAAGCAAGAGAGAGAGGATCTTAATAAGGTACAGGTGCTTTGTCAGATACCTTTCTAGACAATAAAGCCAATTTTACTTTTATTATATTTCTCTTAAAATGAGAGTTGTCTTAACATCTCATTTGCAGAGTAAAATTAATTAGAAGGTGGTATCACTCATCTTCTGCATTCTGACTTCTTTTTTTGACACAAAGAGATTTCTTAAAGCATTATGTATACTGTCATATGGGTGGTCCCTAGCAGATTGATTCCAGACCTTAAACAGATCCATGAAGTGATCTCTACGTTGTGGAGACTCAATCTTACCACAGTAGCTGAGGTATATTATCCTTAGAGTTTACTCTGAACTCTGTCAAGCTGAGTTGTTATCCTGGAGAGTTATCTACGGAAGATAGACTTCCCTATATGCCCATGTTCCTTTAAAGGGATAATTCTCTTGTGTTGGTGCTACTTGCTGCAGCATTCAATACTGTGGTGTAGTATATGTAGACTTGGCAGCATTTGATTTTTATTATTTTATAATTTCAACCAATAATATCAATGTTTATTTTGAGCATATTTTTTAGATTTTTATAGATTTAAATTTTCACATATATGCGAGGAGGGCAGTCACGCAATAATTATTTAACAACAGTAGATGGTGAGATTCAAAAAAGTTAAAGCTTTGTAACCATTAAAACATAACTTGCAACATCACATGTCAAACTATACAAAGTAAATATTCTTAAATCAAACTCTAATAAGTTCTCAAGCAGCATTTTTCTTACTTGGCCTATCTGTAAATTTTGATTATTATAAATGGAAATATTTTTGTAGGTTTGTGTGTATACAGCGAAATAATCATTTATTGATGTGTAGTGATAATAATTGAATCCTTCCAACCCTAAGTTTATGGGAGTTATAATGGCTGTGTGGAGGTGGTTGACTTCCAAAGGGTTTGTTTTCATTCACTTAACACTGCATTTTTTATTTGACAGCTAAAATAAATTAATGATGCAACTTTTTTCTATTTCGGTTAAGTGGTACTGGAAACATAAGGCAAAGATCATATATTTGATTAGAGCTTAAAAGTATTGAAAGCCTTTGCTTTAGATCTACATAATGGCCAAATTTAGAGTTGATATAGATTGAAGCAATTCCACTGACTTCAGCTGATCATAATCTGTCCCACTACCTTTACAAAGAATTCTCACTGCAAGCACCTGGTCTGTGTCATATATTGTTACCAGTTTTTTATCTTTGGATGCATATATGTGGCTCCCATTCACTTCAGTGAAACCCTCATGCACACATCTAAAGGCAGAATTTGGCCCTAATGCTTTATAGGTTTATAGGTTTATAACTTTTTTTTTAAACTGTAGGAACTGATGGAGTCTAGTGAGAGATTAAAATCCCAAACCAAAGAGTTAAAAGATGCACACAGCCAGCGGAAACTGGCCATGCAGGAGTTCTCAGAGATGAATGAGCGGCTGACAGACTTGCACTCTCAAAAACAGAAACTTACCCGCCAGGTCCGAGATAAAGAGGAAGAGATGGACGTGGTGATGCAAAAGGTGGAAATCTTAAGGCAAGAGTTACGGAGAACAGAAAGACTCAAAAAAGAAGTAAGTAGTGAAAAGGAGTTTGTAGAGTCTTTAAGGTGGTAATTATATGTGGAGGATTTTCGTACAAATTCATGCTTACTTCACTGCCTTTTAAAAATATATTCAAGTCGTAGTCTGTACATCTTTAACTCTTTATTCATTTGATTGTTACTTCATATACAAAATCCAATTTCTCTTTAGGGATTTGAATTTTTCACTCTAGTCTTTAAAATTCAACTCTTACACCAGAAAATATAACTTTGTTTTGAAAAATAAGAATTTGTTACCCTTTTTTGTAGCTGGAAGTCCATGCTGAAGCTGCAGCTGCTGAGGCATCCAAGGACAGGAAATTGCGTGAGCGAAGTGAGCAGTACTCTAAACAGCTGGAGAGTGAACTGGAAGGACTAAAGGTTAGTCTTTTTTGGTTCAACGCCTTTAAAGTTAATAGCCAGCTTGGAGTTGAGCTGTAAAATTGCTTTCAGTACCAAGAGGGTATTGTGAATTTGTGACCTCACTCTGTATTGAACTTAAAGGCAAATTTGTATGAAATTGTCTTTACGAAAGGCTATGTGAAAAACGAAAACTTCCCACAATCGCAAACTATTAACCAGTTCGTTCTTTTCATGCTAAATGTTAACTATGTTTAGAGGAGCATCTCTATCATAGTGACACCTGGGTTTTCTGTGTTTATTCCTGGTCAATGACTTTCATAACTATTTGATCACTTTACAAGTCAAAAGAAGTGTTTTGTAATGTTTGATTTTTCAGCATGAGTGAATAGTTGCATATAAACTTAATCAGCACATTCAGATCTCTATGGAGATGTATTAAACATTACTTTATAATTGCATATTTCAATTCTATTTAAGTCTAAATAGAACCAAAGATCTAATAACTGATGCTAACTGATGTCCCTGTAAAGGAAAATTTCCGAATGTATCGTTACATAGCTCAGCCAAGCATGGGGTGTACATGGGTGGCAGGTTTGTAGAAATTTTGGTGGTGCCCAGAACCCGTCCCCCCCAAACTCCTCTCTCCCACCTGCCTAAGGCTCTGGAAGGGAGTTTGGGTGGGGGGAGGAGGTCTGGGCTGCAGGCCCTGGGCTGGGGATTAGGGTGCAGGAGGGGTGCAGGCTCTGGGATGGAGTTTGGGTGCTGGGTGCAGGCTCGGGGCTGGGGCAGGGGGTGGGGGTGCAGGCTCTGGGATGGAGTTTGGGTGTAGGCTCTGGGATGGGGCAAGGGGTGGGGGTGCAGGCTCTGGGAAGGGGTGCAGGGGTGAGGGATGTGGGGCTGAGGATGAGGGGTTTGGGGTGTGGGAGGGGGCTCAGGGCTAGGGCAGAGGGTTGGATGAGGGCTGTGGGGCTGAGGATGAGGGGTTCATGATGCAGGAGGGGGCTCAGTGCTGGGGCAGAGGAATGGGGTGCGGGGGGATGAGGGCTCTGGATGGGGTTATGGGGTTTGGGACATTGGAGAGGCTCAGGGCTAGGGCGGAAGGGCAGGGTAAGGGCAGCCTGCCCTGCCATTAGTGGATGGGGGGCACTAGGACCCTGCGGCAGCAGTTGATGCCGGGAGCCTGCAGGCTCCAGAGCCCCGGGGGAGGTGAGTGGGGGCAGCAAGTGTGAGCTGGGGGACACTCGGGGGAGGCACGTGGGGGTGGCAGACGGGGCTGGGGGGGAGACCTGGCCCCAAACATTGGTGGAGCAGGGCCCCCGGGCCCTGAATATTGCTGGAGCCAGAGCACCACGAGTGTATATAACTCGCCGCCCCTGGGGTATATAGGTCCCAATTCTGCAAATACTTAAGAGTGAGAGTAACTTTATGCATTTAAATAGTCCCACTGATTTCAATGGGATTATTCACATGTGTTAGTATTTTCAGGATCAGGGATTTTATTCAAAGCACAAATGTTATCTCGTGGTTTGGTGTTGTGTGGTGTGCTCTGTAGATGTTCCACTTTCTGAAGATATATGCCTCAGAGTTGAAGATTAGGAACATATTGGTTTTTTGGTTTCCATATGAAGGTGAGTGTGCATTTAGGGAAAAACCATGTTCTTATCTAAGTCAGTAAGGTAATTAACCACTGGAACATTTTATCAAGGATGTGGTGGAGTCTTCATCACTTTAACTCTTCAAATCAAGATAGCACATCTTCCCAAAACATATGCAGTAGTTCCCTGTGAAGCTATGGGATTGATACAGGAATTGCTGCGTGAAATTCTATGGCCTATGTTAGGCAGATCAGATTAGATAATCATAAAGGTCCTTTTTGGCCTTAAAATGCATCCGAAGAAGTGGGTTGTAGCCCATGAAAGCTTATGGTCTAATAAATTTGTTAGTCTCTAAGGTGCCTGTTCTTTTTGCGGATACAGACTAACACGGCTGCTACTCTGAAACCTGTCATAAAGCTGCTAGTGCTGCAAATCCAGCCTACCAGCTGGAAATTAAGCTGTGTTCCTTCTGCTTCATATATCTTCATCAGCAATAAAGAGTCTGGCATCAGAATTTAGATGGCAATTGTGGATGGTGCATGAGGCCGTATAAGACATAGTTTACTCTTTAACACCTCTATGGGTTCTGTAGTGCTGACAGTAATGAAAACTTGTTTGTGTTAGTAAACTGAGCAGATAATGACTTGTATGACGTGGGGAGAAGATACATGCAGAAATAGGTTACCATTTGTATTTGCTTTTGTAATCATAACAAAAATTTGTTGTTGAAAATAGTAGAGATATAAGTAACATAAGACAAGGACTGTATTCCCATCAAAGGGCAAATGTAACTTTCTTTAAATAATATTCAAGAAGCATTTTTTGATTTCCAAATTATTTAATTGTATTGCTACTATTATTACCAGTGTATTTCTATAGACCCAGGGTAGGCAACCTATGGCACAAGTGCCAAAGGCGGCACGCGAGCTGATTTTCAGTGGCACTCACACTGCCCGGGTCCTGGCCACCGGTCCGGGGGGCTCTGCATTTTAATTTAATTTAAAATGAAGCTTCTTAAACATTTTAAAACCCTTATTTACTTTACATGCAACAATAGTTTAGTTATATATTATAGACTTCTAGAAAGAGACCTTCTAAAAACCTTAAAATGTATTACTGGCAAGCGAAACCTTAAATTAGAGTGAATAAATGTAGACTCGGCACACTACTTCTGAAAGGTTGCTGACCCCTGCTATAGACGTTATAGGGTCTTCCACTTCCTGTTTATTGCAGTAGACTTAAATGCAAATATCTAGTGCTGTTTCTTCCAACAAAAATTAAAAACCACATTTATTATATTGCTGAATAATTGTCATGGTTTTTGAATGTTAAAGTTAGGTCAGCAGAATTTCAAACTTTCTCTATTATCCCAAGCTATTTTTCTGTGAAGGGAAGGGTTAAGTGAACAGGAGGGTGTGGTGTGAGAGTCTGAGTTGGGAGACTGAGGTTTTTGAACATCCGTCCCATTTGCGTGTTACATGAATTTTTTATTAATATTTTGCGCATATTCCCAGACCTTTTGGATACCAACATTGTAAACAAATTTAAAATAAATAAATTAGGCATGTTAAATATTTAGACTGTATTTATACTGAAATTCCCAGCCCCACACCCCTTTTGCTCTTGTTGCCTACCTGAGTAGCAACAAATTATTAAGTTAAGAAAAATAATAATATAAACAAAAATTGTATGGCCAATATGTACCGTATACCTATTCAACTTAAATGTATATATTTCATCTTCCCTATCAAGTTGTATCAGCCAACCTTTTATAACCACAAAACCTTTAAATCACTTGTTTAAAACCCTTTGTATCACAAGTTTGGATTCTTAACATAACTAAGTCTGGTAAGATCTTTGATTTTTTCTCACCATTGATGATGATGATTCATCTACAAAGGGAGATACATGCCCTGAAACAAACCAAGCAAACTATAGCAGTGTCACTAAAGGTTAATCTCTCTGAAGCCAAGCAGAAAATCTTCTGAGTGTCCCCATGTAGCTAGAACATCAAAATAAATCATTTTTGTTTTGCTGTGGCTGAGTTAGATAAAATCTTGTGATGCTATAAACTGGAACTGCACAGCTCATGGATTCTGCATTCCCATGCTGACACTAGTTGCAAAGCTCATTTTTTCTTGAGGAGGTCTCCAGCAGTCCTTGTATTCAAATCATCTGGACTTTCTTGCACAGCATGCAGCTAGCAAGTTCTGTTTAAGCAGCAGCAGAAGTAAAGGTACAAAAGTCAAGCTGATTGATTCTGACTGAGAATATTCTAATAGTGCATGATACAAAGTGTGGTTATAACCAGGTACCCAAACACCTCAGGTGCATTAAAAGGCACAAGGCCAGTTTCAATCACCCTAAATAACAGGTCTCCAGTATAATTGCACTTCCTGAAGCCCAGTTTTGCTTTATTAAATGTTTTTTCTTTTATATATTTAAAAATAAGAAAAAGTTTTCAGGGGGTTTTAAAAGAGAATTAGTACATGTTTTTATTTTAAAAAGTACTCTTGTGCTAAAAATGAGTATTGGGTTTTAATGTAAAATAGCAGAAGATTATTAATAGTGCCAATCTCATAGGCCACACCTGATTTTGAGCCTGATCTTGCTGCCACACTAATCAATGGCAAAACTTCCATTGACTTCAATGGGTGCAGGACTAACCTCTTGCATTCGAAACGAAGTTAAGCAATGTGTAAGGAGCATTCAAGTAGCAGAGTATCTTGCCAAACAGCTTTCCAGCACCCTAACTGACATAGAATGAAGTAGTACTAACTGTTTAGCTTTTATGCTGTGATAGAAATGATAAATTAAATATGATGGGCCATGTTCTGATGCTTTTTGCTATTCCTGACTCAAGGGTACAAAATGATGCAATCAAAATGGTACTTGGCACCGGCACTCTGACCAGCTTTGGAGTTTCTGCACTGCCTCCACAAATTGCTCGTTCTAGGAATTCAAGCAAGGGGGCGTGTGTGTAGGGATTCAGAGGAGGACATACTAAAATATGTGGACTTTGGACCCAGGACCCTAACCCTCCTACTCCATAATGTCAAATTATACCCTCACAGCGTGCCTTCTATAAACATCAGCTTGTGTATATCAAGATTAAATTATTATTAAGCATATGTTTGCGGTGATCTGCAGTGCAAGAAAACTAATTTTGAGATGTCCCTTTTATAGCAAAAGCAAGTTGGTCGCTCACCAGGGGTGAGCAGCACAGAACATCAGCAAGAGATCACCAAATTAAAGGCTGAGTTGGAAAAGAAGAGTGTTTTCTATGAAGAGGAACTATCCAAACGAGAAATAATACATGCTAATGAAATCAAATCCCTGAAGAAAGAACTGCGGGATGCAGAGAGCCAACAGCTTGCCCTCAAGAAAGAGATCATGATCTTGAAAGACAAGTTAGAAAAGACCAGGAGAGAGAGGTAAGTGTATCCCTGCAGCTCACCAGTGAACTCTAGATACCTTAGTATCTTCAAATGCATTTACAGACCACACCATCACACCAGGGTTCTGGCTGCAATCAGAGACATATTGGTATATCTAGTGTCATAGATGAAAATAAATAAACTTGAAATCCCTATGTGACGGGTTCCCCCCAGCGTGCCACCTGGATCTGGGGTACCACTGAGCCCTCTGACCCACGAGCCTGGGCTCCCTCTCACACTGTGCTGCTGTGACAAGGTGCAAAGCCCTCCAAGCTTTCACTTTCACCAGCATTCACACCAGTAGGGACACACCCAGCTGCAGTTACATGCAGGCTCACTAACCACCAGCCTAGGAGCTCAGAGCAGTATCATCTTACCTGGTCAAATCTGGCCAGTATATGGGTTTAACCCGGTCAGCCTCTCCCTCAATGTGAAGAGGACCATGCACACTTGTGGTAACCAAGCTGAGATTATCCCCAGACACCATAGTCAAACGCTCACTGGTTTGGATTAAAACATTAAATAAGTTTTTATTAACTACAAAAGATAAATTTTAAGTAGGGCTGTCAAGCGATTAAAAAAATTAATCGCGATTAATCATGTGATTAAAAAAATAGAATACCATTTATTTTAAATATTTTGGATGTTTACTACATTTTCAAATATATTAATTTCACTTACAACACAGAATGTAAAGTGTACAGTGCTCACTTTATATTTATTTTTTATTACAAATATTTGCACTGTAAAAAATAAAAAAATATTTTTAAATTCATCTCATACAAGTACTATAGTGTATCCAATCTCTTTATCGTGAAAGTTGAACTTACAAATGTAGAATTATGTACAAAAAAACCTGCATTCAATAATAAAACAATGTAAAACTTTAGAGCCTACAAGTCCACTCAATTCTACTTCTTGGTCAGCCAATCACTCAGACAAACAAGGTTGGTTACAATTTGCAGAAGATAATGCTGCCTGCTTCTTGTTTACAATGTCACCTGAAAGTGAGAACAGGCATTCGCATGGCACTGTTGTAGCTGGCATTGCAAGATATTTACGTGCCAGATGTGCTAAAGATTCATATGTCCCTTCATGCTTCAACCACCATTCCAGAGGACATGCGTCCATGCTGATGATGGGTTCTGCTTGATAATGAACCAAAGCAGTGCGGACTGACGCATGTTCATTTTCATCATCTGAGTCAGATGCCACCAGCACAAGGTTAATTTTCTTTTTTGGTGGTTTGGGTTCTGTAGTTTCCGCATCAGTGTTGCTCTTTTCAGACTTCTAAAAGCATACTCCACACCTCGTCCCTTTCAGATTTTGGAAGGCACTTCAGATATTTAAAACTTGGGTCAAGTGCTATAGCTGTCTTTTAGAAATCTCACATTGGTGCCTTCTTTGCATTTTGTCAAATCTGCAGTGGAAGTGTTCTTAAAACGAACAACATGTGCTGGGTCATCATCTGAGACTGCTATAACATGCAATATATGCAGAATGTGGGTAAAGCAGAGCAGGGGACATACAATTTCCCCCACAAGGAGTACAGTCACAAATTTAATTAACGCATTTTTTTTAAATGAGCATCATCAGCATGGAAACATCCTCTGGAATGGTGGCCAAAGCATGAAGGGGCATACGAATGTTTAGCATATTTGGCATGTAAATGCCTTGCAACGCCAGCTACAAAAGTGTCATGCGAACACCTGTTCTCACTTTCAGATGACATTGTAAGTAAGAAGCAGGCAGCAGTATCTCCCGTCCATGTAAACAAACTTATTTGTCTTACTGATTGGCTGAATAAGAAGTAGGACTGAGTGGACTTGTAGGCTGTAAAGTTTTACACTGTTTTGTTTTTGAGTGCAGCTACGTAACCAAAAAAAATCTGCATTTGTAAGTTACACTTTCATGATAAAAGAGATTGCACTTCAGTACTAGTATGAGGTGAATTGAAAAATACTATCTTTTGTTTATCATTTTTACAGTGCTTATATTTGTAATAAAAAATAATAATATAAAGTGAGCACTCTGCACTTTGTATTCTGTGTTGTAATTGAAATCAATATTGAAAATGTAGAAAAACATCAAAAAATATTTAATACATTTCAATTGGTATTCTATTGTTATAAATGCGATTAATCGCGATTAATTTTTTTGAGTTAATTGCGTGAGTTAACTGTGATTAATTGACAGCCCTAATTTTAAGTGATTATAAGTGATAGAAAACAGATCAAAGCAGATTACCTAGTAAATAAACAAAAACACGAACTGGGCTTAACATACTTGATGAATTAGCAAATTCTCACCCTGAGTGATAAACAGGCTGCCTTTGCCTTTGCTTTGCAGCTTGGGTTTCCCAGTTTTTTATACACAGGCTAGAAATCTCTTTAGCCTGGGACCATCATTTCCCCCAGTTCAGTCTTTGTTCCTCAGGTGTTTCCAGGTTTGTTGTTGTAGGGAGGTACCATCATGATGTCATTTCCCCCTTTTAAATCATCTTCCCACTTGCTGGAAAGCTCTTTTGCTGTGACCTAGGTCAAACAGTTCCCGTTGTCTAGTGCTAACTCTGAGAGATTTCTATTGTATGCAGTTCCTGGGGTAATCCTTATGTTTGTGTGCATTTCCACAAGAAGCCATTAACATTGTTTGGCCTTTTTACTATTGTACCTGAAAGGTTGCTTGTGGGTGTTTTCAACCTCACAAAATGTTTCAGTAACACATACATAGCCAAACTTCATAACTTCACATACCTAATAGCACATACAATCCAATGAGATATTAATGTCTTTCAGATCAAGACTTTTAGAATGATACTTCACAAGGCATACTTTCTGCAAAACCTATCTTAATTATATGTCAATGGTGAATAAAGGGGTGACAGGGTATCACACCCTATACTAGCCATCTTCAAAAGTATATGTGATGAGCTGGAACAGTTACTCTTCTTGTGTCAAATTCTGCACTGTCTTACCACCCCCATTAAAGTAACTGGAGTTGCAGGGTTGTAAATCAGGGAAGAATTTGCCCCACTGTAGCTTAAATAACTTTTAGCATTTTTCCCTGTTTGATGTTTTCATCTTTTCATTGGACAAATAATATGCTAGAGCTCAGTTAGTGCTTACACTTTCTGCTGGCCCGGGAACAATAGTTTAAGGTGGGCAGATGCTGATCTGCATTGGTTTTATTCAGTGCTAAGGTCTGTCACCATGCCACTGTATACACAAGCCTTTTCATGTGTACTGAAAGGGTGATTTGTCAAAGACCTGCTTTTATTGTCATGTGGGGAAGCTTACAATTTGCCTTGAATGTTCACTGCAGGGCCAGCCTTAGGGCCAGGCAAACAGGACCCAGGGCCAGGGCGCTGTAGCCAGGGGGAGCCACAAGGGACTCGGGCTTCCCCTGGCTGGCTGTGGCCGGACTCCTCTCTTCTCCAGCCCCTCCCCCACTCTGGGCTGGCGGGCTTCTCCCTGACCCCGCTCCCCTGGCCCCTCCCTCACTCGTGCCTCAGCCAGCCGGCTGAGGGCTCTGGCTCTGCCCCAGCCCTGGGGAGCCCAGAGCAGCACAGCCGGGGCGGTAACTGGTGGTGCAGCTCACTGCCCGGAGCGGAGCCGAGTCCCTCCCTGCCTGCGGCCCTGCGCCGCTCGGTCTCCGGCGGGGGCTGGCCAGGCCGGGGCCAGGAGGAGCAAAACTTCCACGTGAGTTAGGGAGGACTTTAAGTAACAGTGCGCTCACTGTCTCTCAAACTTCCCTAACACACACACACACACACACACACACACACACACACACACACACAC